TCAGCAGTTAAGAACACTGACTGTTCTTGCAGAAGACCCAGGTTCAAACCCAGCACCCACATTGGCAGCTAACAACTGTCAGTAACTCCAGTTCCAGGGACTATGACAGTCTCTTGTCCTCCTTGGGCACTGCACGACATGAGTGCACCTACCTACATGCAGGCATAACACACACATAAAATATAAAAAAAATTTCTTAAAATAAGTAAATAAATATTATTCCAGTGGGGGTGGGCACAACTTGCTAAAAAATTCAATATAGTAGTTTTTGTTTTGTTTTGGTTTTTTTTGGTCTTTTTGAAGCAGGGTCTCCCTGTAAGACCCAGCTGTCCTGGAACTCACTATGTAGACCAGGCTGGCCTTGAACTCACAGAGATCCACCTGCCTCTGCCTCCCAAGTGCTGGGACTACAGGCGTGCGCCACCAAGCCCAGTTTTTTTTTTTTTTAAAGACAGGTCTGGGGCTGGAGAGATGGTTCAGCAGGTAAGAGCACTGGCTGCTCTTGAAGAGGACCCAGATATCTACAGATATCTAGAAACAGAGATCCCTCATTCTCTAAATACTCTACTCTGAAATATTAAGGGGAATTATTTACACAGAATTTAATGTGGTAATGCCTTCTGGAGTCACAGAAAATTTGCCTATGTTGCATGTGTAAAGGAGAAATAAATGCTCATGTGTTTCAGTTACAACCAAAATCCTTTGACTTGGAGCTCTTTTGTCTGTATCTTTAAGAGAGCAGAAACTCCAAATTATGTTAGAATCTGTCCCAATTTGTTATGCATTGATCTTGCTAAACTTTTAATGAAGTGTCTCACCAGACTATGGTAACAGGGCCACCTACTCTGTCAGAGCCACCCCAAATGACAAAACAAAAAGCAAGGGGTGGGGAGGGATGAACAGAAGGGAGTTCAAGGATGGAGACCTACTCAAAACAAAAACCAAAACTGCCCCATATGCTGAATAACATGTGCAATCCATTGTATAGCAATGAAACACACACCAGAACAAAAACTTCCCAGCTTACTGCATAATTTTTTTCCCTTTGGTCTTTTTGAGACAGGGTCCCCACGTAGCCCCAGCTGGCCTGGAATTCACAGAGGCAGGAGGATCTGCCTCTGGAGTGCTGGGATTAGAGGTGTGCACCACCACACCCAGTCTAGGTGGACACACTTTGAGCTAGGTATTTCTGTGGTGTTTTTGCTCGGTAGGAAGAAAGATCACCACCACTAGACATCTACATGGTTAAACTCCCTTGTTTCTAAATGCCTTTGTGTCCTGTTATACCTCATCTGCA